ACTCATAATCATATGACATTGACTCAGCTGCACCATGGCAAAACCCTTCTCTTGGTGCTCAGGTTTTACTTACGTTAACGTGACAGTCACAGACTGGAATCTACTGGGACAGGAAGCAGAATACTATTGTAGTCTCAGGTATGTAGACAGTATGATAAAGAACAGTCCAACCCCTACAAATATCCTACGAGTGACTGGAATGCTGAAACTATGATGTCACAGGTGGAGGAGTCCAGACGATGTTTTGTCTGGCATGTAGATGGCAGTGAGGAGGGGGGCGGACCACACCTTTCAGGTAAATGTGTCTCCCTGTAATGAAAGGTAATCCTGCGGGTATTTTTAGCTCAGTGTTGGGAGGAGGCCCTGACATGGGTGACGGTAAGGATTTGTATTTCCATTTACGCACCGAGCAAGCAAAGAAACAAAAGTGGCTTGTATGGAGGGGTGAATCAGAGACAGGAACAAGTGCTCTAGAGACAAATGACAGGTTGACAAAGACCCTTTCAATGCTGAAACCACTCTCTGTTTGCTCCACTCATGGCAGCCCTGATAGTTGGTTTTAGTCATCAGGCACCTCAAAGCACCTCAGGAGCTTTAGAAATGTGTCGTCAAATCACAAGACTTACCACATACCTCTGCATGAGTGCTGGAAAAATAGGTCACATGACTAAAACCGATGAAAATGACCACAGTTCACTCACAATGCTAGATGAATAACAGTAGTTCACTCATAAAAAGTAGAAAATTTAAAGACTTTACCGGTCACTCTTTTCATTATATTTCACACAAAGCTATTGTATGCCGTAAATTCAGACTTGGAATAATATAATGCAAAAGTTGTATGGACCACTTTTTAATGATGGTTTTGCATCCTTTTTGAAGCTTGAAAGCTTCAGTACCAGCATGCAAAACAAATTTTCTACATTTGAGTTTCACAGAAGAAAAAAGTCATACAAGTTTGGAATGACATGAGGGCAAGTAAAAAAAAAAAAGTTGTTATTTAGCCTTATTTAACCCTCTCTCTATGTCATGCTGACGACAGAAAGCCAAACCACAAGTTGTTCTGACAAGGATATTAAACAAAGATCAAACTGAACTTGCATCAGCAAATGCGCAGCTGAAAATGGGTTGTTATGCATTCTTCTGAACACTGTGAGTTCGGGTCCCTCCTCTTTCTAGCCTTAAATTCCGTAACAAACCGCATGTCATTCATTTGCGCTGAGAGGGAATCCACAACTGCGCTTTTGAAGGATAATTGTTACTGTCATATATTACGCTACACCTTTTTCAGGGGCCTACATTGGTAAAGAAAAGAAAAATAGGTGCTTCATGTGGTAACACCAAAATCAGATAGTCAAAATCAACAGTCATCTCAAAAGTATTTAATTGAATTAAATTCACTAGCTCTAAGATATAATGTGGGATAGACAGTTGTGGTTGCTAGGATGGGAACATGGTTGGTCAGGCCAGAACCATCCAGGACCCTCTGTAAAGCTTGCCTACATTAGGTTACCAAGAAAAATTACCAGTCAGGTAGAGGTAATTAGGTCAGGTAAAAAGGTCATTTAGGAGGAAATACAATTATAAATAAATAAATCTGGTTTCTTGATTTTGTTAGACTTATACTTGAAATTATAAACAATTAATTTACGATATATTTTCAAAAAAAGAAAAAAAAAAAAGAAAGAAAGAAAAAGGTCCTACAGAGTAAATGTATCTTCTTTTAAGGAAGTTCAGATATTTTTACTGGAAATACAGATGAAAATATTGATTAAGAAAATGTTTTTGTATGTAGAAGATCAGACATGAATTGCTCTTTTAGCTGCACACATTTAAATACAGCAAAACATTCATCCTTCCACTTATTTTGAATCACATGCCTTATTTTTGTTGATGATCTTATAATAACATTAAAATACATCAATGGACACATTAAAAGATGCTTTCAGTGTGCAAAAATATTTCTATATGTTAGTGTGTTTAAATATAACGTATACAATAAGATGACTTCTAATGCTACATTTAATGACACTTGTGCTTGGCCATGAAGAGCCATTACCTTCCAGCCGGCTGAGCTGTTGCTGTCGCCCTTATCTTTGAAGTAAGGCACGCTCTTCACCATCCACTCGTAGATCTGAGACAGGGTGAGCCGCTTCTCAGGGGAGCTCTCGATCGCCTTGGTGATGAGGTCAGCGTATGACATATTCCCCCACGCGTTCCTACGAGACGAGCTGCTCTTCCTCTGGGCCGCTGCAGGGCTGGAGCTGCTGGCAGGGGCGGGGAGCGGCGGCACCTGTTGCGGGTGCGTCAGCTGGGGATTCGGCTGCTGGGGATGCTGTTGCTGGGGATGAACGCAGTTGTCCTGGCAGTGGAAGTTGTTCAAAAGGACGGGTTTCTCCTCCTGGTAGTCCTCGGTCTCTTCTAGTAAACTTAGGCTGTTGATAAAGTCCACGATACCTTGCTCAGGCTTGACGGACGGTGCCCGGGAGGAGGTGTTGGAGCTCCCCGGCTCGCTGAACTCCGGTCGGTGCAGCGGCCAGGTGCATGAGCGCGGCCGGGAGAGAGGCTCGAAATCCGGGTCGATGTCAACCAGCTGTTGCTGCGGTTCTGCCATCACAAAATCAAAGCCGAAGTCAGCCGACTGTCCTTAAACAGAGGATAAGTGCAGTTAAGATTTTGTCTAGTTTGCTCACTCTAACAATCGCACATGATCAGAGCTGACTGACAGTGAAGCCCTGTATCTGATCGCGCTGTAAAACTCAGCGATGTGTGGATCGTACCATGCCTAGCGCGGTTTTAAATGAAATGACTGTGTTATGAAGCGCTCTCAGGGTGCAGCGTGTTTTAGAGTAGAGTGAGCTGGCCACGCCCACAGCTGGAGTGACAGCCTGGACAGCCAATCACAAGCGCGTATTCAAAAGGTAAACAGAGATTGCGTTTGCATAACCCACGCTACTCCAGTTTATCCCTTTTATGGCAAGCTCATTTAACATTTTTTCCCGCTGAAAACAAAGTAGTAGCTATGTCACTTTATGTGACTAGTATCTATTTTCAAGTTCACTAGTAGGGTAATTATAGCCTGTGCTATAGAAATTATTCCAAGTGACTACATTTCAGTCACTATTACTTAACAAAAGTATCTATCCCTGTTGTTACTAGGAACATTTCTCATGTCACTAGTTCACTAGTTAAGTGAATAGTTCATATCTGAGAAACAGATCCCCATACTTTACAGGTCTTTGTGTGACTATTCAGTTTCACTAATAGGCTAATTATAGCCTGCATATTACTTATTCCTATAGTCAACTTTTAGTTAGTCACTAGTATTTACAGTATGAGACACTAGCATCTATCTCAGTTGTTACTAGAAAAATCTCTTGTCTCACTAGTTGACTAGTTAAGAAGAGAATAGTAAATATCCGAGCAACAGATCCCCATATGATTCAATGGCAAAAATGTGCAATTCATTACCAGTAACAGTGGAATAGATACTTTATCTTCATTATTGGCAAAGGAATAAAGACTAACCAGTCTGATGTACTAGTGACTAACTGAATAGATATTTGCAGCTACTGGGATAAGTACTAATATCTACTAGTTATTAATTTCGAAAATGATGCCAGTCATTGTTTGATTGTTTACTTCTAATTAAAATATGTTTAATATCAAAAATTGGTATTAGTTTGATAGAAATAAATGTTAATATGGCTTGCTTTATACTTTTAGTTAAACAGGATTTACAGAGGATTATGACTGCCATGAAAGAATTTGACCACACAGTGTAGCTTTCCATTCACCTTTTTAGTTGTGTAATATCAAATAATCACCAGTTTAATATATTTTGTTAATAGGCTTCAAAAGCGGTCCTTTCATCAAGATTTAAGAGGCTGAGTGCACTGAGACTTAGAAACCATTTGGCACTCATCCGCCTGTCAAATAGTCTATATGTCTTGTTGAACTTGGCTTCCTAAATTTGCACTAAATCCTTTATGTTTTCAACAAAACATGCGTGTGGTAACGATGTGAACGTTCATGCAGAGTTGTGCTATCACTAGCTGTGCTCACTAGAGGGAGACATTAACTAGCCTACATGACTACAACAAGTCTTGACCAGGGTGCATTTAAAAAAAAATTAAAAATACAGGGCTCTCCTAAAGGGTTTCTGCAGCTTTTATGAAGTTAAGACTTTTAAAACATTTTTAAGGTTTATGAGAGAGATATATATATATATATATATATATATAAAGTGTTTATGATTTTTTAAAATGAAAATCTACGTAATTCAAAGGGAAAACGTGATTTCGTATGTGTTCTTGTTTTAAACATTAACTTATTTCTCAAAAACAGGGCTTCATTTTGTAGGCTTCAAGTTAAAGCATCTTGATTTAAAGATGTTTAGATATTTGTATTCAAAAACAAAATAAAAAATACTGCTATTTTTTCAGTGCATGCTACATTTAATGCCAGTTTTATGAATTTAAGACTTAATGACTTTAAGGCCTTAAAAACGAAGTGAACTTTTTAAAACCCGCAGAAACCGCTTCCAATATTACTTACTACTAACATTTTGTGTGAATCAAATTATTAAAAATTAAAACAGTTAAAACCCCTAAATACAATTCCTCTTACATACAGTTGACTCTTGATCAATTCAATTAAATTTGTTAGTTTTTTTTAGTGTATGCAACATTTAATGCCAGTTTTATACATTTAAGACTTTATGACTTGAAGGCCTTCATTTGAAAAAGAAGTGAACTTTTTAAAACCTGCAGAAACAGTGTCCAACATTACATACTTATGTTATAAATAACATTTTGTGTGCATTAAATTATTAAAAATTAAAACAATTAAAACCCCTAAATACAATTCCTCTTACGTACAGTTGGACTCTTGATAAATTTCAGTCGTCTCTGTAAGACCTTTATTTTGAAACTATATTTACGTGGACTATCCCGGTAGTAAATTCATTTCTGAAGCTTGTGTCTTGTTTGTACATTGCTGAAAAATCCTCTTCATGTACCCATATACAGTAGCCATATGAAGAATTAGCTACAATTTATTTTGAACAACCTTTTATATACGTACATGCATTGCAGAACATAGAGCAGCTCGCTTGTGAACAGGACGGAATTGTATTGATGTGGAATAGGACCAGGTGTTAGAATACAACAGGATTCCAGTCCAGCACAAGGTTTCGGGATGAGCTTCTTCAGTTTCGGACAAACTGCTGAAATTGACGTAGTTCTAAATGATGCCGAGACGAGAAAAAAGGCCGAGCACAAAACAGAAGACGGGAAAAAGGACAAATACTTTCTGTTTTACGATGGGGAGACAGTCTCTGGGAAAGTCAACGTAACCCTGAAGAACCCAGGCAAAAGGCTCGAGCATCAAGGAATCAAAGTAGAGTTTATCGGGCAAATCGGTAAGTTCAACGTTTGAACGAGCAATGCTTGATGACGCAACGTATGTGCTTGCGATGTGACCGTTAAGTTAAATACAATTCAGCATTTACATTTGTGTTTGTTTGTTTGGAGGTGTCGCGGGCAAATTTGTTTTGTAAAGTACGTTTCATTAAGGGGGATACAGACTTATTAAGTAATAACATGTTAATATGTTGAAGTGTCAAATTACATACACTGGTCTCGTGACATGACACATTGGCGGTGGGTGTTTGATTCGTGAACGAATCGTTCTTTCCAGTTGGATATTTTCAGTGAATCAAACGAACCGGTTCACTAAACATCGTTCAGGTTTCGCTCCGAGCGTATCTTTCTATTTCAGAAATAGCAAGAGTAATGCATTAGTATGCTGTTCGGAATTCAGCCAACCACTCACCGACCTGTTCGGACATCGTCATTAGACGAACTGATGAGTGAGGGGAAATTTTTTTTTTTAAAGCCGAATAGCAGAAACGTTACAACTTGTAAAACCTGTACTGGAAATGGTTTATCAACCTAAAAATAGCTGGACTTAAAAATAACCTTAAAACTTTTTTAGTTAAGAAAGGTAAATGGCATTTAGTATCGTTTAATGTAAATTCAAATAATATTTAGATTCTAAACCAGTGTCGCGATGTTAGCTGAATCATGTTTGCAACAAACTGAAATTGGACTTTTTAAAATGGAAATAAACAAATACCCTTATAATTATAAATAAAACCCATAATGAACAGCACAATGTGCTACATGTAAAATAATCATTGAGTCGATTTTCTCCTGTTCTTTTAAATGAATTGTTCAAAAGAACCGATTCTCTGAAATGAGTCGACTTCCTATCGCCAGTAAAAAGGCGGTATAATAGGAATCAGACCTCTGGATGCTCGTCAGAAGCTATGAATCCCTTTTTTATATTCAGTAATTAACAGTTTCCTTAAAAGATACTTGTTTCTCCTTGTTATAAGTAAGGGCTGTATTTAAAGCTCTATATACAATTCATG